ATGAAAAATGGGGGCAAAAACAAAAGTGTTGCCTTTATAATTTTGCTCAGTATAGAATGAGAGTCATTCTTATTGTAAATACATGTATTTTAGAGTCAGCTAGGATTCATTTATGTGAAGAAAAAAAGTTCTTAATATTCTGTTCTAGAATAGCATTAACATGCTAAGCTAAAGATTAAAAGCCACCAACTGTTTTGGACCTGAAGACATAAAATCTTTTAAAGCATAATGAGTAAAAATACTTTTAGGAGCTTTTAGTGGTGCTGAATTTTACACAGTGGCTACAAACTCTTGTTGTTGCAAAAACAGTGCATTTTAGAGCTTAAATTTACTTTTTTTCTTTAAAACGTCAACAGGGCCATTGAAACAAAGTTGTAAAATGTGATGTTTTGTTCATCAAGACTCCCTCAAATTTGGATGATTATAACAAATTTCAAAAATAGGCAAGTTAGCAAGCATTCTGTTACCAGTATATCCGTCCCTTACAGTGGGGGTTGCCTTGCCTTGCCCTTCCTTTGAGTGACAGGGACAGCCAGTCTCTCCTTTTGGTCATCAACAGGTTAATGCCTGCCATAAGGGTTTTCAGCATTGCATGTCATTGAATGGGGCATGAGCATAATCATTTACTTGAATGAACATTGAATCCACAAACCCAATGTAGTAAAGAAACTCCAGAGTGAGCGGTATATCAAGCTTGCATTAACTTCTCGGAGGGGGACCATTGAGTAACAGGTGTGAAGTTGCATAAAATGCATCACTTTCCCATGATGCTTTGCACAGAGACCAATTGGGAGTGGCTTGTTAGTGATGATGCAGACTAGGCTCGAGGTATATAAACTAAAACAACTATGTTAGCAGTTCTGAGCAGTTGGAGCATTCCCAGCCTTGCCTCGGGTGTAGGGATTGCAAGGGAAAAGCAAAACTACACGGTCTAGACCCTGTGTAGTTTTGTTTTTTGGGTTATAACGGGGCCCAACCGTTCTCACCTTGGATTTTCTGGAAACATTTTGGATAAGAGGATTGTTGCTGAGGCACTAGCCACCTGGGCACAGTCCCATCAGGTGTAACCTTGTGATACAAGTAAGTGGCATTTACGCTGTAGAACACAGTCATTAAAACAAGTCTTTTTATAAGCTACAATCATACATGCTTGCACACCTTTTTAAAGCAAAATAAAAGTGCTGTTGCTTACAATGTGCTATTTCATTGAGTATGAGATAGTCAGTCTGTGTTACTTTTATAAAACATAATAATGCTCAAAGTTATTAAATGGTGCAATGATTTCAGAATAGCCAAGAATAGCCTGTGATAGCATTAGAGTGGTGACCCAGCTGGGCCATGATGTCTTTTTAAGGGAATCGCCAGCAGAGATATCAGTTGCACCTCCAGCTATGTGCCACATGGTGACTGTCAATCAAAGAAGGAACAGATTATTTTTGGAGACTGCCATTTCTGTCATAGTGAATATCAGCCTTCACACATGATGCCATTTAGTCAGAATTAAATTTGTTTATTTTTGTTTAAATCTATTATTGATATTTATTACACAAATAGTTTGACTCTGTGATTGCGAGTCAATGCTTGTCCGCTCTCACCTGTTGGTTTCTTCCGTATAGCTAATGATGCAGATGGCTTAACTGCGAGTAAATTCTTTCTTTCTTTCTTTCTTTCTTTCTTTGTGTTAAGGAGTTGTAATGATCTTTATTTGTCTGTAATTATTAAATTATCTTGTTGTTTTAGTGTTTATATGAGATGAGAGTCTAAACACAAATTATATTTTGTATTATGTATGGGAAATATCTATATGATACACATGTGAAGCCTTTTGTAATGCTTGTATGTGTCTTTTTTGTAGATTATTAAACTTTTGGAGTGAAGTGCTTGTAACAATGTCAAAATGCTCATTTTCATGTTATTTTGGATACCCTAAACCTGAAATGGGTTGGGAAAATATTGTTGATTTATTAACAATATTCCAGGCAAAGTCTATGAGTAGGATAAGATTTTCAGTTATGTCACTATCACATTTTTAAGATATATATAG